AGTCACCCCCTCTCTCACTCTATCATTAGTCACCCCCTCTCTCACTCTGTCACCAGTCATCCCTTCCTTCCCTCACTCTGCCACTAGTCATCCCTTCCCTCACTCTGTCACCAGTCACCCCTTCCTTCCTTCACAGTGACAGAGTTAGGGAGGGAGTGACTAGTGACAGAGAGAGGGATGGGGTGACTAGTGACAGAGAGAGGGATGGGGTGACTAGTGACAGAGTGAGGGAGGGGGTGACACAGTGACAGAGTAAGGGGGTGACTAGTGACAGAGTGAGGGAGCGGGTGACACAGTGACAGAGTTAGGGAGGGAGTGACTAGTGACAGAGAGAGGGATGGGGTGACTAGTGACAGTCACCCCCCCCCTCACTCTGTCACCAGTCATCCCCTCACTCTGTCACTAGTCACCCCTTCCCTCCCTCACTTTGCCACTAGTCATCTCTTCCCTCCCTCACTCTGCCACTAGTCACCCATTCCCTCACTCTGTCACTAGTCACCCACTCCCTCACTCAGTCACCCACTCCCTCACTCTGTCACCAGTCACCCCCACTCACTGTGTCTCCCCCTCACTCTGCCACCACTCAACCCCTCCCTCCCTTACTCTGCCACCAGGTATCCCCTCACTCTGCCACCTGTCACAACCTCCCACACTCTTCCACCTGTCACCTTCTCCCTCACACACTCTGTCACCTGTCACATATGCATTCACACAGACACTGTATACAAAAAAGCACATGTAGTCATCCAGACATGCACAAGTGCATTCACACAGACTCAAATACAAACATGCATTGATACACAGGTCTTCACAATACACACATCCAAAGGAATGCCGTATTATGAATTATATTTAACATTTATTTAATGCACATATATTTGGCCTTCAAAGGGCCTGGGATCTAATTTTGCCCGGGGGCCCCAAAGGCTCTCAGTCCGCCCCTGCAGGGAGCTCATTGATAGAGCTCTATGTGAGTGGTGGATAGAAGCAGAGATAGGAGATTACATCTTATCCTCGCCACTTCCACTCAATGAACCCACACATAAACTAGTAAGCAGACTTCTGTGAAGAAAGATTACAACAAGCAGTAAATGGGATGAGGAGACAAGTGAGGTGAGGAATTTGTGGTTTAGTAAAGAAAGAAAGGTATGAGAGTAGAACTCTCACACTATATGCACACATAGAAACTTGAATATGAGTTAATTCACTGAACTGGTAATTTGTGTAAATTATGTAGAAATCGCAACTGTTGGTCAAGTAAGACAAAAAGGGAAATATCTACAACTTAATTAACTTTGTTAATTTTATAGCTCTGCTATTTTGGCTAAAAGTTTAACTTCCCTGTCAATCATTTAATATTTACTGCTAAACAAATGTAGTTTACTCTCTGAACAGCTAATTGTAGTGAGTTGAAAACCAAATAGTAAAATTCAGCCTAGAAGAGCCAAACTATGACAATAGCAAAACTGGGCATTTACAGTTGTGCTCAAAAGTTTGCATACCCTTAGAGAATAGGTAATATATGTACAATTTTTAAAGAAAATATGAGTGAGCAGGCAAAACACATTTTGGTCGCGTTTTGCACCACTCTGGGTGCTTTCTCAACAACTTTCACAAGTGTTGTGATGGTGCAAAACTCGTCTAGGGCTTCTCTAATCTATCTTTAGGGTCGGCTTCTTTGGTGGTCTCCCCTCTGTACAGCAGCTGTGTGTGGTCCTATGCTCAGGTTCTAGACCTTTTATAATTTGTTCACTCACCCTTTTTTTTTTTCATATACATGTGCTTGGACCAAGCAGCTCGTTTAGCTGCCTAGAGTGTCTCTTTAAATAATATCATTAAAAAAGGAGAACAAAAATATCTTAATTTTGAAGGTCATTGTATTTCTTCAAAATGAAATGATGTTAAAAATAAAAATGCACATCTTTAAAATGAAATGATGCTCCGCCTCCTTGGTTCAGATCATACATTTCCTCTGAAAGGGCATTGAAATGACTGCTGGGTCTACCTATACTCACTAGAACAACTACATTAAGCTGTAGTTGTTCTGGTGACAATAGTGTTGCTTTAATGTTCTTCTTTTATAGAAGCTCCATATTATTGGTCAGTGAGAGTGTGTAAAAAAAACTCCACAGCAATAATACTCATAGTACTGTGTCTTTAAACTAAAATAAATGTGTTTAAAATCAGTCTGTGTAAATAAGATGCATTGTTCTTATATTTTATTTGCACAAATTGTTACCTAAGGTTTCTCTGAACAGCCCTGTCACTGACCACACCCCCACTCACACCCTTAAATTAAAGTGTCCATCTTTGTCCATTTAAAATGTTTGAGGTTTGAGAGAAGCACTCAAAAATTATGTTAATGTTGCTGATCTGCTGACCAAACTTTTTAAGTTGTAAGCAATTCTTGTCTTGTCCTTGATACCCACACATGATTCTGGTACTGTGCCCTTCACTCCCATAAGAGCTAGTTGCTAAGACTGTGTGCAGCTTTAGTTTGTACTACGATACAGGAGGTTGATACACCTTAAGGAACTGTAGGAAGGGGAGAATGATATGATGCTGCATTAATAATGCTATATTTGTATATACCCATCAGCAAATATTGACCTATTAATCTCAGCCACTACTCTAACTAAAAAACAATGTGGATGCAGTGTGTGTGTTTGTGTAGTGGTTTACTGTGTGTGTATGTAAATATGTAGGTTAGGATAGGACCTGCATTCTACTTCTGGGTACCATTATTTATCCAAAAATTTGCATTTGATTTGATTTTCTGGTTTTAAAATAGGTACTGGCTTCCACAGCAATAGCTGACGTGTACATCACATATAACCTCGCATGCCATTGCGAGATTACCCTAAACCACATGGGGAGTAGCAAGATGGCACTGGAAAGCAGCATGAAGCTCTGTAGTCACCTGTTCACTGTGGGAGAGGTGTTTTATCATAGGGCAGATAGTTTACAGCACTATTTTCCTATTTATTTGGTGAGTTTATCCTATTTTCTAAGGGCATTTGCATTGAGAAAGGGTTGGATCATAGAATGTTTCTTTCTATCTCCTTTAAATAAACCACTATTGTAGCACTTTGTGTACACAGCATATCAAAGCAGCACTGCTCTCTGTTTGCCTTGTATATTGCATAGGATGCCACTTATGCGACAAGTCAGTTTGTGAAACATTTGCCCTACTAGATCTGCCCAGTCAACAATGAGTGCTTTTATAGTGAAGTGGAAATGTCTAAAGCAGCAACAGCCTGGCCCAGTGGTATACCACACATACTCACCAAATGCATTACACAACACAAAATTGAAAACTGTCTCTGCAAGCAATATCAGTACACAATCTGTGGACCAGGAGCTTCATGAAATAGGTTTCCATGGCAGAGCAGCTGTATACATGCATCCCTCAATGTGCACAATGCAAAGCATTAGCTGGAGTAGTGTAATACACACCATTACTGGACTTTGGAGCAATGGAAAAGTGTTCTCTGGAGTGATAAATCATGCTTCATTATTTAGCAGTCTTATGGAGGAATTTGCATTTAGTAGATGCCAGGAGAACATTACCAGCTAGAATGCATAGAGCTGCAATTTAAATGAACACTATAGTCACCTAAACAACTTTAGCTTAATGAAGCAGTTTTAGTGTATAGATCATGCCTCTCAGGTTTCACTGCTCATTTCACTGCCATTTAGGGGTTTAATCACTTTGTTTCTGTTTATGCAGCCCTTGCCGCACCTCCCCTGGCTCTGATTGACACAGCCTGCATAAAAAAAAAAGGTTTCACTTTCAATCAGATGTAATTACATGATTTTGCTATTACATGACGAAAAGTCATGATTTTATTAAAGACACGGAGGCGAGTATTGCATATCCCTTTCTTTACTGTCCACCAATAGCAGCAAAGAATACAAACAGAATGAAAAAAAATAATGAACATGCAGTAACATAGGCCCCTCCCCGCTCAGGTCCCAGTATAACAGGCAGCACTTCCCTTCCATTTCCCTCTTTCTGAAGATGCGACCAAGGTAAAATGTCCAGAACGAGAGTAGTGTGAGAACAAAGTCCCAAGACAATAACTTAAAACTGAAGAGGGTAGAACATCAATAACTGGGAAGCTTGACCATAGGAGTCATGGGACCATCGGATAACAGCGGGAGGAGTCCTTCTAAGCCGAACAACTGCTTGCCGTCTTGCCGGATTAAGCTGTGAAAACATAAAGGAACAGGAGCCGACAGGTTAAAGTCGATATTTGTAACTAGTTTCAAGGTTACACGGGTGAGAAAATAACCCACATATGCACAGTCCCACAAAACAACTGAAATACCCAGCATTACAGAAACATCATTGTCTAAGGATGGCCCCACTTACCGTACTGAACCATAATATGTAGTGTATTGTAGTATGAGTAATTCTGGGAGGAAAATTATTATTATTATTATTACAACTGTGTCAGAACGAAAAGGGTGGGACAATACTCGCCTCCGTGTCTTTAATAAAATCATGACTTTTCGTCATGTAATAGCAAAATCATGTAATTTTATAACAAGACACGGAGGCTCATATTGCAAGTTTAAAGCTGATCCATTACCGCAGCGAATGTATGTGGGGCCGGCCAAAAGGAAAATTCTCGGAATGTAGACTCCCTAGACCAGTCAGCCGTCCTCATAATGTCTTCCAGGCATGCGCCTGCCGACATCATAGAAGAGGCTGATGCCCCCCGGACCGAATGGGCGCCAAATATCGTGGTATCAATACCTGCTTGGGACAACAGCCATTTCACCCATCGTGACAAGGTAGTGCTAGAAACCGGGTGAAAAGGAGGACGGAAAGATAAAAACAAGGAGAGACGGTAGAGCGATGTGGGTTGGTGCGAGTCTCGTATTCGCGAAGGCAGGCCACTGGGCATAGTGAAGGAGAGCCAGAGAAACTAGGGTAGGATACTGATTTGATGGAAGTCTTAGTCCGTCTGCTGATGTTGAAAGTTACCCCGTCCGGGGTATATGACTTGGCATCGAAGTCCAGTGCTCTGACATCCGAAACCCTCTTGCATGAGACGAGGCAGAGCAGGCAAACCAATTTGGCAGATAGCTGTTTGAGGGAGAGTCCTGAGTTAGCGGGCCAGGATGAGAGGAAAGCCAATACGACCGAGACCCCCAGGTCGTGGAGTAGCGGAGCCTGGGTGGTCGTGAAAATCGAGAACCCTTGAGGAGTCGGCACACTAAGGGATGCTGTTCCGCTGGGCAGCCATCGAAGCCTTGGTGAATCGCCGATATAGCAGATCGGTAAAGGTTGATAGTCCTGTAAGCCTTTCCAGCCTCGAAGAGGGACGTCAGGAACTGCAGGACCATTGTTACAGAGGCCGAAACGGGATCCGCGTTCCTAGCCATGCACCAGCCAGCCCAAGCTCGCCAAGCTGACCCATATACCC